ATTCAATTGGTTGACCCTGTACTGTGAGTTGGATGTTGGGCTTCGCTATTTTTATGGGCATGGCTTTTGACTTTGAGGGGTTGAGTTTGATCCCAATCTGTTTTGCCTCTTTACTGATGCAGTCTAAGCATTTGGGTGCAAGGCGCGCCGCATCCCTTCCTTTTATGATGATGACAAAGTCGTCCGCGTAGTTTAGCAGCCTGCAGTGATGTGGAAGTTTCAACCTCATTATTCTTTCCATTAAACAGTTGAAGAGAAGGGGGCTGAGAATACCTCCTTGCGGTGTACCATTTTCATATCTTTTGTACTCAGAGACTGTGCCATGAAGTTTTACTCTTGCTTCTCTGTTTATGAGACAGTTTTTGGTCCAGGAGAGCAGGTTGCTTCTGACCTCTTTGTCGATGAGGCAGCAGAGAATAGCTGGGGCGCTAGCCAGTTCAAAGGCTTTTTCGAGGTCCAGGAATATCAGCATTCCTGGTCTGTCATTCAAGTGGGCTAACAGAGTTGTAATACATTCCACTGTGCCAACCCCTCTTCTATAGGCATACATATCATGGTGCAGTTTAGGCATTTTCCACTCAAGTCTGTTGAGTGCCATTCTGTCAGCCGTCTTGGCTGCACAGCTTTGGAGAGAGATGGGCCTGGGATTAGCTGGATCTTTGGGTTTTGGGATCGGCACTATGTCTGCTCTATTCCAAGCAGGTCTAGTTTGAGAAGTCCAGGCTAAATTAATTAACCTTAGGTATGCAGCGTCTCCCTCTGGGCCGAGGTTTCTAATCATTTTATAGGTTATTTTGTTGGCTCCAGGGGATGTATCCTTGGAGTTTTTCTTAGCCCGATTGAGCTCATCCAGTGTGAAGGGGGCATTAGTGTCAGAGACTTCTTCATATGCTGTAAGGATTCTGTGTCACTTTTCTTCCTCTAGTCCGGTCTGTACTGCAAATTCTTCTGGTGGAAGCTGATTGCTGGCTGCTCTCTCTGCAAACCTGGTTGCCAGTACTTCGGCTTCCTGTTGAGGATCCTTGGGGTGTAGGGCTTTAGGTGTTTCATTCCCTTTGGCCCGGTGAATTTGCTGCCACATCTCTCCGAGAGGGGTGTGTTCATTCAGGTGTGAACACCATTCCAGCCACTTTTGTTCTTTTATTAGTCTGGTCTCTCGATGCACATGTTCCTTGACCTCACAAAGTAAGATCCTGTTGCGGTCACTTGGCTGCTTTTTGTATAGCTTTCTTGTTCTGTTGAGTCTATGGTTGAGTTCTTTGACACGTTCGCAATAGTACCAATGATCTTTATGGTGTCCGGTGGACTGTTTTTTCAGTGGGACTGAGTGGTTGGCTGCACTTTGAATCGCTTTGACAAATTCTTGTTCTGCCTGATTAATGTCTTCAGGAAGATCATAGTTTCTATGCCACTCTGAAATGAGGTTTTGAAATCGGTCCCAGTTTGCTAAAGCAAAGTTCCAGGCTTCAGATGGAGGCGGAGGTGGGGTGGGTAGGTCTAATTTAAGATCAATTTGGACCCCATAGTGGTCGCTTGTGAGTGTGGGCTCAACTGACCATGTTGCTGTATCATCTCTTAGGGAGGCTGAAACGAAGGTAAGGTCTCCTTGGATGTGGGTGGGTTTATTCTTATTTAGGATTTGGATTTCTGGAAACTGGTCTAGTAGATGTGCAATGTGAATGCCGGCTTCATTTTTTGTGTTCGAGCCCAGTGCCAATCGATGATGGGCATTAAAATCTCCACAAATGATTGTGTTTGTTGTTGTCGCATGTCCAAATAACACAGAGATCCATTTCGGCATGTGGAGATCTGTACACATTAAACACTTCAAGTTTGTCGTGTCTTAACTCAATGGTTACTCCCATTACCTCTGTCCCTGCTCCACAATTGGGTGGGCTGGTTATGGACTTGGAGATCAGGTCACATTTTACATAGATTGCACATCCCCTGGATTGCCCGTTGATCCATGAAAGGAAGAAGCCTCGATAGCCTGAGATTTTAGGTTCTAATCCGGCTCGAAGCAAGCTCTCCTGTAGTATCAGGATGTCTATGCCCTTGGTTGCTGCTATGCATTGCAAGTGTTGCAATTTAGTGCGCAGTCCTTGCGCATTCCATTGCAGGATCTTTAGACCTCTAGGTTCTTGGAATTTGCTGATAATTCCGTGGTATCCATGGAGTCTGATGAACACGCCATGGAAGTTGCAATTGGTGTATAGGTTCTTAGTGGACCTGAAATTGACTCATCAATGTCGCTTTCCGACGAGCTGGACTCTCTGTTTTTTAGGGGGGTGTCTCCTGCCCTGCGTTCTTCAAGGTGAGGATATTATATTTTCGAATTTCTTGAGCTTGTGCTCAATTTTCTTCCGAGTCTCTGTGGTTTGCTTGATACCGTGTAATAACAGCAGACTTTCGACCATTTCGGTGACCAAAGTTTTGAGCTTTGGCTAGAGAGCATCCAGTTCTACGGGAGCACTATTTAATGCTGTGCAGGTTTGGGGCCTGGTTACTTTTTTACCCTTCTCAGTGGTCACTTTGACACTGGAATTGTTACTCTTACTCTTATTGCCCCCAGTGTGCTTACTGGATGCACTGGGAGGGCGACTGCTTTGAAAATGTTTCTTGTGGCCCCCATCTTTCTTTTTTTGTCCTGTACGGAGGGCTTCACGCCCTTCACCATGGCCGATGGTGAAGGGCCGTGTGCCCCCTCTACCTGATTGGATAGACCCCACACGGTTTTAGTGGGCAGTGGAGCTGGTATTAGTTTTGGTGGGGGCTTCGGCTCTGCTGTAGGCGTGGTGGGGTTCGTTTGAAGCCGTTTGAGCCTTTCAGGGCATTTCAAGTTCCAGGCGTGATGTGCCTTGGAGCAATTTGGGCACTTTGCTTAGACAGGGTGGTTTGCCTTGTGTTTATCAAGCCTCTCCCTCCAAGATGAAGATTAAGCCATCCAAAAGATGGCACGGGCATGAATAGCCCATAAGTGGTGGCCCTTTTGAGCCATTACCAGTATCAATTGCTGATACTGGAGATCTGTGGAGGTGCAACTGCACCCTGCGTGACGGGAGATGTCTCCCGTAGCCTCTCCCTCTTTCGTAACCAGCTTTTATTCCCGTCTATCCCCAATTTCCCGTTGAATGGATGGATTTGAATCTGGTAACAAGGGATAGTCTTCCGACCTTTTGAAACTACTCGAGGTGAGGTTTGTTTGACCTTACCTCACCTCTCTGTGAATGCCTCGTAAGTCTGGAATAATCCCAAATCTCTATTTAGGTCACCTCAACAACTGTTACACTCGGACCAAAAGGCCCTAAAAAAGTTTGACTTTAAAAATGCCTTCAATCACGTCAGAAGAGACACTGTCCACAGGGCTGTACACAACCATTTCCGTCCCCTTTACCCATTCATGTGATCGTGTTACAGTGGGGACTCTAAGCTTCTTTTTGGGGAGCATGAAATAGACTCCTGTGAAGGTGTCCAACAAGGTAATCCCTTAGCCCACTCCTTTTCTGCTTAGCTATCAAAGAGGTCACTGATAGTCTGACAAGCGAGCTTAACATCTGGTAGCTGGATGATGGCACTCTCGTTGGAACCCCAGAAAACGTTTTGGAGGATATAAGGAAAATCCAGGAGCAAGGAGCAGCCTTGGGCCTGATTCTCAATGCATCCAAATGCGAAATAGTCTCTTGGTATCCAGTCATCACTGGCCAAATAAAAACTGTTCTTCCAGACATTTTCGTTGTCGAGTCACCTGGCTGCACCCTCCTGGGTGCCGGCATTGGCCTGCAAGCAATCGAAGTGGTCCTGGATGCAAAAATCACTCACCTAAGGAGAATGCTGGACAGGATTGACAAGACTGAGGCCCATGATGCACTCTTCTTCCTCACAAGATGCCTATCTCTCTCTAAGTTGACTTATTTTCTGAGGTGTTCTCCATCCTACATCACCCCTAAATGAAATATGTATGACACCCTTCTGAGGTCCATGCTGGTGAAAGTCCTGCACCTTCCATTGGACGACTCTCAATGGGAGCAATCAACCCTCCCTGTAAGACTTGGTGGCCTTGGCGTCCACATAGCCTCCCAGATTGCTCTACCAGCCTTCCTTTCCTCCTCCCACGACTTCGCAAGCGATACCCTACCTGAACCCCTGAGTGATTCAGCAGGCATACACGATCCTGCTTTCACTCAAAGTTCAAATTAGTGGGATGCTCTTGCAGCCCCAGCACCCATCCTAGATCCAACAAAAAACAATTCTCACTGAATACAAGAGTATTTTCAACAGAGTGGACGTAGACCAATATGGACTGCATGGGTTGTACCGCAGAAGATCCAAGGGCTGGCATGCAAGACACAACGAGGTCAATGACATCATTAAGAGGAGCCTCGTCTCAGATCAGCGCACAACAGAAAGAGAACCTCGCATCCTAGGGGACCAAAACTCGGATAACCCCGCCCGTCGCCCAGATGGCATCGCAATATACCCCTGGAAGAGGGACAGACAGCTGGTGTGGGACTACATATGTGTTCCCACTCTGGCTGACACCTACATACACTTCGGTGCTGATCAAGCAGGTGGGGCGGTCAACCACAGGGAAACACCAAAATCAGTCAAGTACAGGCGACTGGTCAATACACCATTGTTCCTAAAGCGTCTGGGACGCATTGCCTCTGGGGTAGGAGTGCCTTGGGATTTCTCAAGGAATTGGGTTCCAGGCTCATTGACATCACCAGAGACCCAAGAACTGCCAGTTTCTTGTTTCAGCGTCTCAGTGTGGCGATCCAAAGGGGGAAACGCCTGCTCGGTTCACGTCCTGAAGCGGAGGGACCTCCAAGAGATTCATAACCTTAAAGCACTAATTGTATTAACTAACGTACATCTTGTAACCTTTAAATATCTAATAAACCACTACAAAATTAAAAATATTTATATTTATATATATTATATATATTTAGATATATTATATACTGTATATTTATATAGAGAATTGTGTGTAGGTTACGTACTGTTGGCAAGAGTTGGTATTACTGTTATAGAAGAACCTGATAAAGCGGGCGCGACACATGCCAGTGATGGGAGGTAAGAGGCACAGCGGTGAAGGATCTGGAATGGGAAACACATTAGCACTATGTTCACCTACAATTATTAAGACATCAGTAATAATGTCTTAATAATTATTGTAATAATGATATAGTTTAATTTATTATAGACTCACAGTTACTGTTATGATTATACATACGATCAATACCATCGATCATGATTTCTGTGTTGTTTGTTAAGATCATCGATAGATACAGCGATAGCCGGAAGCTCGACATCTGCGAGGCACTACACATCAAAAAGTCAACACCAGCAATCAACAGTCAATTAATGCACAACTATATTCTACCCACTTCAATACTCCGAACCAATATAGAAGCATCAAGAGGAAGTGGTGATGTTATGGGCCTATAGGCCTTCTGCAGTTACTTCTATTATGTTTTTATACCCATTTGTTCGTGTTCTGTCTTGGGTAAATGTCAATCACTTCACCCAAAACTTTTATATCACCTCACCCAAATGCGAGTATAAGTATGGATGTGTTTAAAGGTTACAGTTGTGTGTGTAAACTAAAGTCTTTGAAAATGTAATAAGTTATTACGAAACGCGTTCTAGCATCGCGTCAGACTAGAAATAAAAATGAATTTTGGAGAACTGATTTTTCAATAATGTATGTGTACATGTACTATGTTAGTGTATAAGTATGAATGTGTTCTTCGATTGTGTACATACCTTAAGTGTACTACAATAGTGTACATGTTTTTATGTGTAATATATGTGTTCTTCCATAGTGAACATACCTCATGTATACTACAATAGTGTTCATACCTCATGTATACTACAATAGTGTTCATACCTCATGTATACTACAATAGTGTTCATACCTCATGTATACTACAATAGTGTACATACCTCATGTATACTACAATAGTGTTCATACCTCATGTATGTATACTACAATAGTGTTCATACCTCATGTATACTACAATAGTGTTCATACCTCATGTGTATACAATAGTGTATACTCACTACATAGTGTTCATACCTCATGTATACTACAATAGTGTTCATACCTCATGTGTACTACAATAGTGTTCATACCTCATGTATACTACAATAGTGTTCATACCTCATGTATACTACAATAGTGTACATACCTCATGTATACTACAATAGTGTTCATACCTCATGTATACTACAATAGTGTTCATACCTCATGTATACTACAATAGTGTTCATACCTCATGTATACTACAATAGTGTTCATACCTCATGTGTACTACAATAGTGTACATACCTCATGTGTACTACAATAGTGTTCATACCTCATAGTGTATACTACAATAGTGTTCATACATACAATAGTGTTCATATCTCATGTATACTACAATAATACCTCATGTCACAATAGTGTGTGTACTACAATAGTGTACATCAACATGTCACACATCAATCAAATCATAAGGGCCATGACGAGGATTCGAACCTACGTCCGAGAATATCATAATGTACTATCTTAGTGTATAAGTATGCATGTATTCTTTGAACCTACGTCTGGGATGCTCTCGGACGTAGGTTCGAATCCTCGTCACGGCCCTTGTGGATTTGTTCATTTGATGCATCACGCTATTGTGATTTCTGTGTGTATTGAAGTAAGGGCGAAGAGGTAGAACGGCCTATTGACACAGCTCGAGTGCATGGGGGGAATTGTGTAAAATCCTGGTTTGTGTCTCGGAGAGGCTGCAGGATCCAAGTAAGTTCAGTAGAACTACTGGTTGCAATTCTTTTGACCATGTCGTAGCTCAGTCGATTAAGGCAGCGTCTGGGATGCTCTCGGAAGTAGGTTCGAATCCTCGTCACAGCCCTTGTGGATTTGTTCAATAGTGTACATGCATTTAAGTGTAATACCTCAGGATAATTGTTTTATGTGTACTACAATTGTGAACATGCATGTAATATGTGTAATATTACAGAGTACATGTTTCTATGTGTACTATCATGGGGTACATGTATCTATATGTTCTTCCAGAGTGTACATACCGTTTGTGTACTACATTAGTGAACATGTTTTTATGTGTAATACCTCAGGGTACATGTCTTATGTCTACTACAGTTGGGAACTTGCTTTAATGTGTAATATTACAGTGTACACACATCTATGTGTAGTATCATAGTGTACATGGTTCTTTGTGCACTAACATAGTGTACACGCTTCGATGTGTGCTATCACAGTGTATCAAGAAGGAAAAACATGCAGCAAAATTAATTCACGAAATACCATAATATTACTACTATCTAAGTTTTTCATCAGTTGCAAGTAGTGGTTACATCCTAGTACATGTGGGTGAAAAAGTATGTGGAGTGGTGTGGTGATACAGCACGAGGAGTTCCCTGATAATGTGAAGAAATCATGAGAGAACTGGGAAATATCCAGAAAAAAACAAACAATAATAATAAGAAAATGTATTTCTACTGTACATCATAAGCTAAACAACAGTTAGGATTATGTGAAACTACATAATACGGAGTTGATTAAGTATATGGCGATGTATGGATGTTCTACAACTTGTGACGGTCCCTGATAATATGGAGAAACGATGAATGGCCCATTAGCTAACTGAACAAAATACAGACGAAAACACTTAACTACCATATAGCATCGTGATAAACACTAGGATAAGTAAAGTTGCTAGGAGAAAGATATGAATTGAGTGTAGTTCTTCTTGTAATTACGGAGAATTGCCTCGATTCTTTCCTCCTTCCGCAATAAGTTCTGCTTGTAAGGTGTCTTTGGTGGTCACCTTCTTTTGTGTCTCGAGGTCGAATATGTCGTCCAACAGGATCTCCAACTCCACTTTGGTGGTGACAAAGAAGGTCACCACCAAAGATACCTTACAAGCAGAACTTATTGCGGAAGGAGGAAAGAATCGAGGCAATTACAGAAGCACCATACTGTCCCCCGAGCTCATAGCGGCAGCTAAGAGCCTTCGCGAGAACAAGGAGATAGTTGTCAGAAGAGGTGACAAATCGCCAATATACGTCATTCTTAAAAAAGACGAATATCTGGCGAAAATGAACCTCATTCTCTCTGACCAAACTAAATTCCAAAGGGTAACGAAGGACACTACAGCCGAATTGAAAGCAAAGGTCAACAAATTGATCGAAACTGTGAACGCCAAGAAATCCGGACTCCATCTGCCAAAGATTATTGGGGAAAATAAGCCTGGATACGCGTATGGAAATGTCAAGACACATAAGCCTGGAAACCCACTTTGGCCAATCATCAGCCAGATACCCACACCCACGTACAGACTGGCGAAGCAACTCAACGGCTTGCTGACTCCTTACGTCCCTTGCGCCTTCAGCCTGAAGTCTCCAAAGGAATTTGTTGACTTACTGCGGGGAACACGAGTCACAGGGATAAGAGCCTCGTTGGACGTAGAATCACTGTTTACCAACATACCTGTGGATGAAACAATCGGGATGATAGCAGACAGAGTGTATCGTGATCCGGCCTGTACTCCTCTTGACATACCAGAAAACATTCTAAGGAAACTACTCCAAGCTTGTACTAAAGAGGCACCCTTCTTGAGCCCGGATGGGCACATGTAGATGGGGTCGCCATGGGTTCTCCCCTAGGTGACCTGTTTGCGAACTTCTACATGGGTACCATCGAACAAAAGGTCTTAGTCGACATGAACCTGAAACCGGCCATATACTGCAGGTATGTTGACGACATTTTTACACAGGTACCTGATGTCAGACATCTGCAGTAGATGAAGGAGGCATTTGAGTGGAATTCTGTGTTGCGTTTCACTTACGAGATGGAGAAGGATGGGAAGCTGCCCTTTCTAGATGTAACGGTCATGGAAAGGAGCGGAGGTTTCCACACTGCAGTCTACACTAAGGAAACAAACATAGGAATGTGCCTCAATGCCAACAGTGACTGCCCAGACAGGTACAAGAGGAGTGTCGTTAACGCTTATGTCGACCGTGCTCTCAGCCACAGCTCAGGATGGAAGCAAGTCGATGAAGAACTCTGTAGGGTAAGGCAGGTCCTATTCAACAACGGCTTCTCCAATGGTTTCGTTGAAGACATCATAAGAAGGAAGGTGAAACGCCATGCAACCTCTGAAGAGACAACTAACACAACACCTGTACCCCCTATTAGACTATTTTACAGGAACTTCTTTTCCACAGCTCATAAAACGGAGGAAAGGGTCCTGAAAGATATTGTTAATAGAAACGTTATCCCTACAGACAAAAATCAGAAGATACAATTGACGATCTACTATAAAACCAAGAAAACGCCCAACCTACTCATGAGAAACTCTCCAGACACAAAGCAGAACGCTTTAAAAGAGACCAATGTCGTCTATGCCTTCAAATGCCCACTTGGGGACTGTAAGCCTCAAAGAATTCAGTATATAGGCAAGACAACAACATCTCTTTCCAGGCGATTAACGATGCATAAGCAACAGGGCTCCATTAAGGAACATATAATCTCTTCCCACAACCAGACTATCACCAGAGAAGTCTTAAGAAAACACAGAAATCATCGATAGATACAGCGATAGCAGGCGGCTTGATATCTGTGAGGCACTACACATTAAGAAGTCGACACCAGCAATCAACAGCCAATTAATGCACAAGTATATTCTACCCACTTCAAGACTCCGCACCAATATAGAAGCATCAAGAAATATGGGCCAATAGGCCCTTTGCAGTTACTTCCATTCTTCCCTTTAACTTACAAAATATTATACCCATTGTTTTGTGTTCTGTCTTGTGTTGAAAGTTTTTTTTCACCTCATCCAAAACTGTTGTAACATATCACCTCACCCAAATGCAGGTATAAAATCGAAGCTGTTTAAACTCTGTTTAGTTATAGTTGTGTGTGTGTAAACTAAAGTGTTTGAAAATGTAATAAGTTATTACAAAACGCGTTCAAGTGTCGCGTCGGACTAGAAATAAAAATGAATTTTGGAGAATTGATTTTTCAGTTACTATCAACAGTGAAAAGAAATATAAGAAATATTGAGAAAATTCGTGTTAGAATTATTAATCTTACTTTTTCGGTCATATTTAATAGTATATATATATATATATATATATATATATATATATATATATATATATATATATATATATATATATATATATATATATATATATATATATATATATATATATATATATATATATATATATATATATACCAGGAGCAACGCAACTGGTAAGTACAGGACGCCTTAATCCGCTTGACCATCACGACCGGACATAAGGAAGTGATAGCCGAAGCTATATGAACCACTTCCCCGCCGGCACTCGGATGGTAATCTTGGGCATAGCATTTTATCAAATCACCTCATTCTTTGGGGCACACGTGAGGAACACAAATGCAAACAAGCCTTAATAGTGCAAACAATGGATTAAGGCGTCCTGTAGTTACCAGTTGCGTTGCTCCTGGGAGTATGGGTTCGAGTCACTTCTGGGGTGTGAGTTTTCAGTCACATATAGTCCTGGGGACCATTCAGGCTTGTTTGCATATATATTTATATATATATTTATATATATATAAATATATATATAAATCCTCTTCTGAACGATACTTTTAGTATTTTACCCCATATATTGATACTCGTCCACTCTATTATGAACTACATTTTTATTTTGTTGTTGTTGTTGTTGGTAGTGTTGTTGTTGTCATATCAATTTTTGCTTTCTTACATCTTACACTTTATCCATGTCTATCTTGCTTAATGTTTTTTCTAAACCAAAAAATCTAAATTTGTTTTCCATTGTTTTACATTTTTTTCATTTTTTTCCCAAAATTTATTATTCCAATTTTTTCCATTTTTTCCATATTTTTTTGTGCAACATTCATCTTGCATCATCATGCAACATCCATCTTACAACTTTGCAACAATCCATATCAAGGTGACTGAGATCACCGGTGCACTCCTGCAATGTTGCAATGCAATGCTGCAGGAATGCAGCATTGCATTGCACCTTTTTTCCTTCTACCAACATACTACATATGTGACTCTGGGCACTCCCACCAATATCTTACATGTGTGACCTTGGCACTCCCACCAACATATTAATAATGTGTGTAATGCGTAGAGTCACTCTTCGCTACTCACAGTTGCTGCGGCCGTTGAAGTTCTGACTGGCCGCTCCCACCGCCACCAGCAGCACCACCACCGTCACCGTCCAGGCGCGCACTGTAACACACACCCTTGTTATCATATGTTACTGTAACACTCATCCTAATACCTTATATTACTGTAACACACACCCTTGTTATCATATGTTACTGTAACACTCATCCTAATACCTTATATTACTGTAACACACACCCTTGTTATCATATGTTACTGTAACACTCATCCTAATACCTTATATCACTGTAACACACACCCTTGTTACCTTATGTTACTGTAACACTCACCCTTGTTATCTTATGTTACTGTAACACTCACCCTTGTTATCTTATGTTACTGTAACACACACCCTTGTTACCTTATGTTACTGTAACACTCTCCCTTGTTATCTTATGTTACTGTAACACTCTCCTTTGTTACCTTATGTTACTGTAACACTCTCCCTTGTTACCTTATGTTACTGTAACACTCACCCTTGTTATCTTATGCTACTGTAACACTCACCCTTGTTATCTTATGTTGCTGTAACACATGTTACCTTATGTTGCTGTAACACTCACCCTTGTTACCTTATATTGCTGTAACACTCACCCTTGTTACCTTATATTGCTGTAACACTCACCCTTGTTACCTTATGTTACTGTAACACTCACCCTTGTTACCTATGTTGCTGTAACACTCACCCTTGTTATCTTATGTTACTGTAACACACATCCTTGTTACCTTATATTACTGTAACACTCACCCTTGTTATCATATGTTGCTGTAACACTCACCCTTGTTACCTTATGTTACTGTAACACTCACCCTTGTTACCTTATGCTGCTGTAACACTCACCCTTGTTATCTTATATTACTGTAACACACACCCTTGTTATCATATGTTACTGTAACACTCACCCTTGTTACCTTATGTTACTGTAACACACACCCTTGTTACTTTATGTTACTGTAACACACACCCTTGTTACTTTATGTTACTGTAACACACACCCTTGTTACCTTATATTGCTGTAACACTCACCCTTGTTACCTTATGTTACTGTAACACTCACCCTTGTTACTTTATGTTACTGTAACACTCACCCTTGTTACCTTATGTTAGTGTCCATCCTTCTCTCCATCAATTTATCCATCTATGTATCTGTCTATCTGTCCATCAGTTTATTCATCTATCTGTTTATCTATATGGCCATCATATCTATCCATATATGAAAATATGTAGGATTAAACAGCATCTACCAATCTTTTGACCATTTCAAAACCCTATTTAGATCGCCTTGAAGTGAAAGTGAGTTTTTCTCCATGTTTGTTTTCATCCCGATTTTTGTATCATTGGTAAATTTTGGAAATAATGCCGCTTAAACCTGAATCTAAATCATTTATATATATTATGAATAATGGAGATCCCAAGACAGAGCCTTGAGGCACTCCACTTACAACATTTTTCCCACTCTGACTTAACCCCATTTATACTGTCTCTTTGTTTCCTTAGGTATAACCATGCTCTAATCTAATTTCATATACCACCAAGAATACCGTGAGCCTCCATCATTTTAATCACTCTTTCATGTGGCTCTGTATCAAAAGCTTTGCTATGGTTAAGGTACACAACATCACAAACCTTACCACTGTCAACTGCCTCAACTATGATCTAATAAAATGATAGCAAATTTGTTAAGCATGAACGGACGTTTGTTAAACCATGTTGTGAATCATTTATTAATTTATGTTTTTCAAGATGAAGACGAATAGCATTTACAATTATTGTTTCACTTACCGAAACATGGATGAATGAAGAAAACAGAGAACAATTAGTTGAATATAAAATGAACAGATTTAAACTATTTCACATAGATGAAATATATATATATATATATATATATATATATATATATATATATATATATATATATATATATATATATATATATATATATATATATATATATATATATATATATATATATATATATATATATATATATATATATATATATATATATATATATATATATATATATATATATTAGACGAGGAGGAGGAGTAGCCATATATGTTAGGGAAAATTTTAAATGTAGTCTCAAAAAGGGAATCAAAACTGAGCCACACACGGAAACTATCTGGCTAGAATTAAACGAAAAAGCGCACAATCTTATAGTAGGAGTTATATATAGGCCACCAAACTTAGACAGAAAGGCAGCAAAGCAGCTATGGGATGAAATATCTAGAGCATCTAAGTCAAACAATATTTGTGTCATGGGTGACTTTAATTTTAGTGGAATAATCTGGATTAACGGAACAGGGAATAATGAAGCAGAAGATTTTCTAGAATTATTTGATGATTGCTTTCTTAAGCAACACTTAACCAACACGGGAAAATAATATTTTAGACTTAAATCTAGATTTGTACTTCCCTGTTAATTAACAGGGAAACACAAATTAATGACATCGACATTAGGAGTGAGCTAGGGAACATTGATCACAAAGAAACTAGAATTTGCATAGAATGGAATAGATTTGTAGGAAAAAATTTCTAATAAAGTGCCAGATTTTCGAAAAGTTGATTTTAATGGCCTAAGAAACTTTTTAGGTGAAAAATTTTGGAAAGTCCTGGGCATGTGGGGTGGGCCGGTCTAGGAGTGAGATGTGAACCCAGCGATGGGTGATGTAAAAAGGGGATTTCGATGTTGACTCAAAATATAACTTATTTAAAAATATTCTAAGCTAAACACAAGAATGTAGTATACTATACAAATTGAACAGATTAAATAATAATGACCCGAAATGAATAACAACGGATCTGAAAAACTTTATAGGTAGAAAGATAGCTTGGTACAAAAGGATTAAGAATGGGGAAGTCAGTTAGAACAAGAATTCGTCCAACTGGTTAGAAATGTTAAAAAAGAGATAAGGAGGGCAAGAAGAAACTATGACAAACTAAACTATTGCTTAGCAGGGCAAGCAACGTCAAATCCTAAAGGTTTTTTACAGTTATATTGAACAAAGATTAGGGAAAGGATAGGTCCATTAAAAACTGAGACAGGTCAGATAACGGATAATGACGAAGAGATGAGTAGTATTTTTAATAAATATCTTATGTCTGTATTTAATAAAGAGGAACTTAACGTTATGCCTTTAGCCGAACAAGTCTATGTGGGTTATCTTGAGATTATTCTTGAGATTATTTCGGGGCTTTTTAGTGTCCCCGCGGCCCGGTCCTCGACCAGGCCTCCACCCCCAGGAAGCAGCCCGTGACAGCTGACTAACACCCAGGTACCTATTTACTGCTAGGTAACAGGGGCATTCAGGGTGAAAGAAACTTTGCCCATTTGTTTCTGCCTCGTGCGGGAATCGAACCCGCGCCACAGAATTACGAGTCCTGCGCGCTATCCACCAGGCTACGAGGCCCCTTTGATGGGTGGGGAAGAGGACAAGTTGACTAGTTTAGCAGTTACCAGGGAGGATATTATTAAACAAATAGTAAAACTCAAGCCAAACAAATCCCCAGGGCCCAGGGAGGATATTATTAAACAAATAGTAAAACTCAAGCCAAACAAATCCCCAGGGCCCAGGGAGGATATTATTAAACAAATAGTTAAACTCAAGCCAAACAAATCCCCAGGGCCCAGGGAGGATATTATTAAACAAATAGTAAAACTCAAGCCAAACAAATCCCCAGGGCCCAGGGAGGATATTATTAAACAAATAGTTAAACTCAAGCCAAACAAATCCCCAGGGCCCAGGGAGGATATTATTAAACAAATAGTAAAACTCAAGCCAAACAAATCCCCAGGGCCCAGAGAGGTGTTTGCCAGGGTGCTTAAAGAATGCAAAGAGGAGCTTTGTGAGCCATTGTTTACCATATTTAATAAATCATTAGAGTCAGGCAGAGTGCCAGAGTCATGGAAAGTTGCAAATGTCGTTCCAATTTTCAAGAAAGGAGATAGATCACTTGCATCAAACTATCGGCAAATATTGCGCCAAACTTTAAAATCAGCTTTTACAGAATTTTCTCCTGCAAATCTATTCCATTCTATGCTAAATCTGATTTCTTTGTGATCACTGTTCCCAAGCTCACTCCTTATTTCGATGTCATTAATTTGCGTTTCCTTGATAGTTAACACTAAGTCTAAAATATTATTTACACATGTTGGCTCCTTAATGTGTTGCGTTAAGGATGCAATCGTCAATTAAGTTTAGAAAATACTCCGCTTCATTATTCCCAGTACTATTAAAGCAGCTTATTCCATTAAAATTAAAGTCACTCATGACACAAATACTATTTGACATAGATGCTCTAGATATTTCATCCTATAGATGCTTTGCTTCCATTCTGTTGAAAGTTTGGTGGCCTATATATAACTCCTATTATAAGAGTTTAGCTTTTTCGTTGAATTATATCCAAATATTTTGTGTGTGTAACTTAGTTTTGATTCCCCTCTTTGAGACTACTTTTCAAATTTTCCCTTACATATATGGCTACTCCCTTTCCTCGTCTAATATATCTGTGTGAAATAGTTTAAATCCGTTTATTTGATATTCAACTAATAGTTCTGTTTTCTACATTCATCCATGTTTTGGTAAACCTAATAATATATATTGTTTTTGTGCAGACAAAGGCATTAAATCGTTTATTTTGTTTCTAAAGTCCTGCTGTTTGTGTAATATACCTTAAGTGTATTGAGAATTTGAGGCCCTTCTCTTTCCCTTTTCATTTTGCAATTTTTTTTCCCCACCTATACATACTTTTATTGCCGCCTTTCTCCATATTAATTCCCATACAACTATCTACTAACTGTTTAAACCAAAACAATTTCTCCAACCACAGGTCTCAATGAGCTGGCAACAGCAACAACCCCAGCACTAGATAAATGGAGAAAGAGGAGCTCAACTAACTCATAGGAACATGCAAAAGTCGACTCAGGGCACTTAAAGCTATGGCCTGGAATAGACATGGAGTCTCTACTGCCGTCCTTAAAATGATGTACACAGCCTATGTGCGCTCCGTCATGGACTATGCCGCACCAGTTTTGTATACCTACTTCCAAAGCGATATG